GAAGAGAAGAGAAGAGAAGAGAAGAGAAGAGAAGAGAAGAGAAGAGAAGAGAAGAGAAGAGAAGAGAAGAGGTCTCTTACTCTCTGGGTCTGCAGTGCAATCTTTCAATCTCCCTGCTCCTTAACCCTAGTCAGTCAGTTCCAGACTTCACAAAGCACCAAAGTCCTGCAGTGCCTTGGCTTTGCAATGCTAGACTTGATTACTCCCTTCCTGAAGTTGTCTCCCTATGCCCATTCTAGCCCCCTGAAGGCAGATTCTGCCTCTTCTCCATTTCCCCGGCTCCTCTTACCTTTGGGCAGGATGAAGAGAAACCTCCGCTTCTCAAACATGTAGACTTCGCTGAGGTTGGTCTGCTCCACCACATCGGTGGTGGCTGTGTTTGTATGAAGGACTTCTCCCTCATTCACCCGCAGCTGCACCCCAGCTCCAGAGCCCTCCACCAGAGGATTCTCTGCCGTCAGCCGCAGGGCGTACCTCCCTATTTCATTAAATTGCACGCTCTCCAGCTGGAAGTCAAAATCCAGGACCTTCTCCTCGGCCTTCAGGCGGGATTTCTGCAAGGTGGCAGGGACACGGGGCTCACCTGCCTTTCCAGCCATGGCCAGGAGTATCCCAGAGCAGAAGAAAGATCTCCAAAGAAGTATGGATAGTCCAGACTAGTAGTCAATGATTTCATCACCTGCCACATTAGTAGCATGGCATCTATATTCCAAAGAGGAGTTCGTGTTGGGACCATGGAGATGGTGCCATCGCTGAAGAGTTGTAGTTGTCTAACATAGCCCTGATCTCTCAGCAACAGGTATGCACACTCCGTGGGAAAGGATTTGTTTCTGTACAGCCCCTGGCCCTCTTCAAATCAGCCCGCAACAGCTCTTCCAAAAATCAGACTTTCTCCTCACTTTTCCATGCAGGTGAAGCTACTCGCTGGTCATTGGTTCAGAGAAATGTGCTCAGACTGAAAACCGAGTGATGAAACCAATTCTTGAATGGGAGCAAACTTGGAGAATGCACTCGGGCCTCAGAGAGAAAACTCTGAAGAAGGTGTAGAAGGAAACAAAAGCTTTGCTCCCTCCATTTGTTTGCACAAAGCCATGGCAACTTAACACAAGGTGTTGCATGCCCTTGGATAAACAAGGCCATGTTTGAGCCTTTCTCTAGCAAAAGGAGGAGGAGGAAAATGCTCTGTGCAAAAACATTTTCTGCCCCAGAAACACACTGGGATCAAAGTGACTCCTGCCAGCTGTTTCCCTCATACCAAAATGGGTTGCTTTGATTTTTTAATTTTTTAGCAAACCGGCCCAATCAATAGAGATATTTTTGCAAACCCCGACATGTTTTATTTCAGGAGCAGGAATCCTATTCAGTACCAAGCACTATGTTGTCTGCAGGTCATATACTCTGAGCTGCAAGGTGGAGCCCCCCTGGGTCTGCTTTAATTCAAAAGCAGAGCCTAGATGTTTTAAAGGCATCCTGTGACAAATTGTTCTTAAGGTGGGGAAGGGGAGATCCAAAAAGAACAGTGCAATCCTCTGCTAATCTAATCAGAACGACAATCTGGCAAAAGGGCTGAACAATTAAGAAAAGAGAGGCGACAGTTTTCTCTCCAAATTATCAACTCAGTTTCACAATTCAGCCACTCTGGTACCCAACGATTGAAACTGGAGAAAATCAATAGCTTAAAAAAAACCAGAGCCTAAATTAAATATGAGTTAGAATTAAGTATGCAGCGTCGGATGGGTGAACAGAAACTTACCTCTCAGAAATTTTTCCATGTGAAAAATGTTCTTTGTGATAAAGCGAGTGATCCCCCACAAAAGCATAGGCCATAATATATGTCTTAGTGTTTAAGGAGCAATAGGAATCTTCACGATAGGAGGGATAGCTGTGTATAAAAATGCACATAATAGGGGGACTACAACTGGAGTTCGCTCCCAAATCAGGACGTATGGGATTAAAGCCAACATGCACGTGTCTGATAGCATCCTAGCACTCTTGGAAAAGAGTACAATTAAAGGGAATATTAGTAGAAAGACAGACGATCCTGAAATTTAAAGCTTGGTAGATAGCATAGAATGTATAAGCTAGAAGGGACACCTTTTTAATGTTTTTGTGTAAGTTAGTCTTAATATCTGGTGAAGACCATGTGGTTTTCTTGGCAACAGTTTCAAAACTGGTTTGCCCTTGTCTTCTCTTCCTAGGGCTGATGGAGAGGGACCGGTCCAAATTTATCCAGCTGGCTTTGTGCCTAAGACAGGACCAGAACTCACAGTCTCCTGGTTTCTAGCCTGGTGCCTTCACCACTACACCATGCAGGCTGTCAAGTCCATAGCAATCACATGGAGAAGTCCCTGAAGTTTTCATGGCAACATTTTGGAAGTGGTTAGCCATTGCCTTCTTCTTCCAAGGGCTAAGAAGGAGTGACCGTCCCAAAGTCACCCAGCTGACTTTTGCACCAAAGGCAGGACTAGAATTCGTGATCTCTCAGCTTTTGCTCCAGTGCCGTTAATGCTCTTGGAGGAGAGCTTAGAAGCTTAGAAGCTGTCTAGTTCAACCTGTGTTCAGTGCAAGAAGCTACTAAACTTTTCCTCACAATGACCATCCATCCTTAAGCGCTTCAAACTCTGCCAGTGTGCAAACTGGTAACCAGCTGAATTCTTAAGAAACAGCAAAGCTTCTTAAAATGCTGTTCCTTAATACCAGCGTTGACATAATCATGTCATTCAGAACAAGCCTCCAGCTAGGTGGCAGCACTTAGCCAACTTTGGCTGATCTCAGAAAGCTAAGTAGGGATGAGGATGGTTAATGCTTGGATGGGCAACTATCAGAGAATCCCCAGGCTTTAAACTGGGTAGGGAGTCTTTTGAAGATGCAATGGGAAAACATTTCCTTATGTTTGCCAAAAAATTTTTTTACAGATGTATCCATGAAGTCACCAGGAATGAGCTCAACGTGAGGGCAACCTTATCTTTTTTAGTCCTCATTATCAGGATCTATACACAATAATTTGCTGTTTGGTACTCCACAACCCCATCCTCTGTTCCATTTTATTTCAGCATTAGCACAAGACAGAAATCCCATCATTCCTGTGGACCACAGTCTAGTGTAGGAGCTGAAACACAGTCTGTGGGACACACACAATTTATGATCCGAGAGACAATGGGAAGGCAAGTGGAGACCAGAAAGTACAACTGGGGATTTATGACTGCAAATTCCTCTTGGCTTCTTCCACCGAAAGCAGGTGCTCCACTCTATCTAACAACAGGTCCAATCCTACACATGATTATATTTTTATTTAGTGTTTGGCCTGAAGAAACTTCACCCTAGGAGAAGAATCTTGAGACTTGATCCTTCTAGCAAAGCTTACAGCCCAACTCTGAGATGTTACCAGCAGGTGAGAAGACCTGATGGGGGAAAACCTTCCATCTGGCTGCCCTTCCAACACTAGGCTAGATAAATCTTTCCCCCACCCCCACCTTGCCTGCCAGGCGGGTTGTTTTCAATTTCTGAGCCCCAGGCTGGCCCCAAGCCAATCCTTCTTAACTGTAGAGGGGCTAAAGTTCTAGGAAATTCCTCTCTCTGCTGCGAGCTCAACTTTACCTTTAAGTTTCAAGGCTGGGTCACATCTCTGTCTGGAGTCTTCTGGTTGGATTTAGGAAGCTCTGGGGCCAGCTGCTTCAGCTGGAGTTTTCAAAGTTCATTTCTCACCCCTAGACAATTAAGTCCTGGGATAACATCTCGCCGGGGAACCCTCTGAGGTGTGTAGGTGGTGATACAATTGCCAGAGGAAAAGATTGTATCTACAGATTGGCGTTGCTTGCGTCTTTAGACAACCTGGAGCGTTTTGATCAGAGTTTTTGCCTACCTGCTGTGGAGAAGTTGGTCTTTTCTTTTGATTTGGAATTTGTGTGTTTGTCTGGTGGTCAGCCTGCTCAGACTTTGGAAATCTTACACGGCTCAAGGTAATGTTCTACTTTTCCAAGCTTTTCTTCCATTGTTTCCTTTGCCAATAACCTTTGGCCTATCAATTACTGAAGCAGTTGCCTTTGAAAAATAAATTATAAAACCCTACCACCATCTCGGCCGAACCGTATCATTTTAAATGTTGAATTTTTGCCCAGATGGACAAAGAAAGTTGGCTGTCTGTCTTAGGGAAGCACCATTCGTGGTGAGCCAAATTAAATAAATTAAATAAAAGGAGCACGGTTTTTTTTCTTCCCCCCAAATCCTCCTTAGAATGTGTCTTTGTTAATTAGCAAGAGGAAGTATTACAGGAATTCTTTCCTATTAAGAAAGACTTTTTCTACGCAGGAAATAAATCAAGAGTAATCACCCCTCCATCCCCAGCAAGGTTTTTTAGGTACAAAATTCTTAACAAGAAGAAAGGTGGTGATTGTATAGCTTTTTTCCCCCAAGACTTTTTTTTTTAATGATCACAAGGGAGTCCTCATCTTGCCAATTCCCAACCTATTTCCATCAGTTTAATAGAGGTGCTTAAGTTAAATCTACAAGCAGCTGAAAAGACGGGTGCGTTGTTTTGTTTCATTTTATACTTTGCCAACATTACAGCCATTTTGCTTAGCCTGCATTGTTGTCTCGGGAGGCAAAAAATTTCCAAGGGGGCAGGAAAGCTTCTTGCAACAGAGGAGGTGAAAAAGGTGTTTCATCAAGAGGCAGTTGGCACTAAAAAAAACCAAAAACCTTAATTACCCTGACTTCAGAGCAAATGAGGCATCTAATTGTAACATGGCTTTGATTGCTTTTTCTTTTTAATAAAAAGAACAATTTATGATCCCTACAGGTCACATTTGCTAACTCGTTTGAAGTGAATTATACAGTGACTTTTAAAAAACAGACCTTCCATCTTGGCTCTGAAACTGTGCAGTTATCGATCAAGATTTTTATAGCTCTTTTAAGAAGTGATAAATGAAATCGTGGCCAGGCACGGCCTTCATGTGGGTCCATCCAAGGTTCGCAATCTGAATGAGCAGATCTTCCTCTCTCACAAAGGGCCCTTGAATCTTTGCTAGCTATTTGGGAGACTCTTGTTGGTCCTAACCTTCTTTCTCCCTGCCCCCGTGGATCAAGGAAAAACGTCATGTTGCCTGAGTTTTTCCTTTTTGGCCCTCTCAAGTTACACTTGTAATGACTCCAGCTTCAGTTGACTCAAAAGCTCTTGCTGAGACTATTAAAAATCACAATGAAGCATTGAGTCCTTCAGCTGTTTCTCAGGAAACCTCCCAGTTCCTGGGAATGGGGTGAGTCTAACCCCTCCCAAAGAGACCTCCACTAGGGTTGATTAAACCTCAATCACGGTGGGAAGGCTGTGATTTATTTCTCGGTGCGCAACTGGTGGCTTATTGACCTCTTTAGAGAAGACTAAGAAATCTTTCTCCCCATCCCATCCTTTGATCTCCTTCAAGCATGAGATGTCCTTTAATATCAGGGCCTAAACGTTGCAAGTCACGACAGAGTTCAATAACCACGGATGTTTTTCTTGCTAAAGAACGAGCAGGAGATCTTGAGGAAGAGCAAGAAAATGATTTCCAAGAAGTTTTGTTTGCCGTTGGAACAAAATTATACCCTCCCCGCTAGCCTTTTTCCATCCCCCAAAATGGCTCCAAATAGCTAACAAACTACCTGAAATGGTTTGTCTGAACTGCTCTCCAAAAAATAAAGACAGTGGGGCAGTCGAGTTCTGAAGGTGGGTGATTTCATATCTGAGAGGGAGGTAGAAGAATGCTTTTTTGGATATGCCCAAAAACCAGATCTCTCGGAGGCGCTGTTTCTCAACCTCAGCAACTTTAAGAGGTATGGACTGCAACTCCCAGAATTCCCCCAGCCCCGCCCCCCGCCGTGGGGGGACTTTGGGGGTGGCGCTCACTTTCCTCCTAAGGTCTGTGGTTGAGGAGAGAAAACCCCCCAGAGTCGGGGATGT